TTTATCTGCTCCTGAGTCACAGAGAAAGTGGACAGCTTTGCCCTGTACTATCAAAGTGTGGACTGGTTTTGTTTCCTTTCCTGATAAGTTTAACAATACTTCAGTTGAATCTATAGTTTGAGGGATGGGCTGTTGTTGGCTTTGGCAATCTAAAAGATTATCTAAACATGTCTGGGTGTTGGCAGTGTCAGCAAGTGCTAGTCATTTGTTGTATGAGGGGTTCAGGGCGATCATATTCACCATGCTCTTCTTTAATCCTATTGTCCTCCTCTCTCTTTCTCTCTGCTTCCCGCTCCTTTGCCTCTGTCTCTCCGTCCTCTCTCTCTCTAACCTCTCTCTCCCGTTTCACTCTCTCTCTCTGCCTGCACTCAGTGAGCTATAAGTTTCATAATCTTGCTTCAATGCTGCCACCTGCAATGCTGCTCTCTTCACTCTCCCTGCTTCTTTGCGTTTTTGAGCTTGTTCTAGCCATAACTTTGCAGCTGCCATCTGTAACTCTTTTCGTTCTCTGTCTTTTCCCTTTGCACATGCTGCATTTACTGTCAACTTATCCACTAACATTTTGCATTTCCCCTCAACAAGTTTCCCTTCAAATTCATATTTTTTATGCCAACATTCTAAATACTTTGTGTTGCCGGGGGTGAAGTTCTGCATAAACTTAACGTCCCCTTCTGAGGCAGTCTTACTTGCTTGATTACCCATTGCAATGACAACAATTAGTGCTACAGACTACGTGTCTGTTTCTGCACTCACTCACATGAACACACACACACATATATATACACAGCAGTGCACTTCTACTTCACTTTTTGTCGTTGTCAGCCACACGGCGCCTCTAACACCGAGCTACGACGGCCACACAATCCTTGATCGTGGCTTTCCTTGAAAGACTTCTAGTTGTCCTTGACGGCAGCCACACGGTGTCTCTAACACCGGGCTACACAGTCCTGGACGGCGGCTTTCCTAGAAAGACTCAGTAGTACCCAACTACTTTCCGTATACGGAACATGGTTTACAGGGCCGTCCCCTTTGTACTTGCATGAAGTCATTCCCGTGTGAGTCCTCGAATTCGTGAATCTGTGCCCGTCGAGGGGAAGGCAGACGATATGCAGCCGGTCCAGCAACAAATCTCGCGTCCCGGGTCTCTTAACAGGTACCTAAGGTCATGGCTGAAGTCAGACTTCGGCCCGTCGTTTTCCTCCTCGACGAACTAAGATCCCGAATCCAGCCCGAAGGACCAGTTAATGTCAGAGTTTTACCCCTGATACTGCTGGATAAACAGAAGCTCACTCAGGAACGAGGCCACACAGAGCTAAAGTTTCACTTGCAAGAGGGAAGCAGTTGTCTCCAACCCACTTCAACTTGCTTTCCCCCCTGCAGGTTGTTTTTATTTGTTACACACATGAATATTCATAAAGCTTGTTGCTGTATTACCTATAAGAAATTACTATAACTGGTTACAAAGTGTGATTGTGCTGTGCAAGGATGATTATACATTGTGTGTGGTTATATGATGGGAGTGCAGCTCTCCCAGATTGTTGTTGGTAGAATCTGTTCTTCTCAAGACTGCTTGTTCCCCTTATCAATGTCATGCACGTATTCATATGCGTAGGTTACCTAGATAGCAAATAGAAGCATTCTAGCTTTCTAATTGGCATTGTGTAGCTTTTTAAATGGCAACACATTAAACCTAACAGTTGGTCTGTTCCTTAATCATTGTCTAACAGTATGTGTATGAGAGCCATGTAATGTCCATGTGTGCATGCTGACTGTGCTGGTCTGACCCCCCTCCTCCTTTCAGGGTGGAGCCTGCTGGAGAACGATGGTTGACACCAGGTCTGAGGAAGTGTAAGTGTGTTTTTATTGTGATTCATGAAAACAAAGCAGCACACATTCAACCATCTTCAAACTGTCACATCACTCATTCACATCACTGATGTCAGGAGTCATCATCAAAGTGTCAATCAATGAACAGATGATGGATCAATAACTGCAGCTGGATTGTGTTTGTTCTCTCCATCAGATTCCTGTCAACTCACAATCGACACAAACACAGTTCACACAAACCTCCAACTGTCTGACAACAACAGGAAGGTGACACGTGTGGAGGAGGTTCAGTCATATCCTGATCATCCAGACAGATTTGATGTTCGTCAGCTGCTGTGTAGAAATGGTCTGACTGGTCGCTGTTACTGGGAGGTCGAGTGGAGAGGATATGTTTATATATCAGTGAGTTACAGAAGAATCAGAAGGAAAGGACGCAGCGATGACTGTTGGCTTGGACACAATAATCAGTCCTGGAGTCTGAACTGCTCTTATGATGATCCTCATTCAATCTGGCATAATAACAGACAAACATGGATCTCCTCCTCCTCCTCTGTCTCTAACAGAGTAGCAGTGTATGTGGACTGTCCTGCTGGCACTCTGTCCTTCTACAGAGTCTCCTCTGACACTCTGATCCACCTCCACACCTTCAACACCACATTCACTGAAACTCTTTATCCTGGGTTTTGGGTGGGTACTCAGTCCTCAGTGAGTCTGTGCTGAGTAAAGAGTGTCCTACTGGCAATTTTTTTTCTGACACCTGACAATTTTTTTTCTGACAACTGACACCTGACAATTTTTTTTCTGATACCTGACAATTTTTTTTCTGATACCTGACAATTTTTTTTCTGACAACTGACACCTGACAATTTTTTGTCTAATACCTGACGATGTCCTAAAATGTACACCGTACTGTCACACGAGGACGCAAGAGTGAGTGAAAATTTCTGGTGTCTATGCGGCTACTGCTTGCCAATGTCAACGGCGACTGAGAAGGTTTGTTGTAAAGTATCAAAAACCTTTTTGAAGCCGTATGTCTTAATCTAGATGTTCTTTGGGCAGTCCTTGTTAGCTTCCATAACCGGTATCCAGTGATGATGTGATGAATCATGCTTCCGGTGGTCAGAACACCGGGCCCAAAGTATTCTGCATTTAAAAAGACTGTTGTGTTTTTAAACATGTTTTAATGCTTTGTATCTTGTTCGATTTAATCTCAACAAGCCCCTAAAAACAGTCAGTGATCATTGTCGGCTTCTCATGCTTTTTATTACCGCTGATCATTTTAAAGCTCAGTTTTTAAACCCTCACGATGTAACTACAGCCCAGCCCATGCAGCAGTATATTAATGACTAACCTCATATTGTGGATGGATCATCTCGGTGGTTATCCTGATGTTTGGTCCGTTTACAGCATCCTGCCATGAGATTGCATTTGCTCCTAACCATCGGTAACCCTCACTTTAACTTTTATTGAGAGGAAACAAGTCATCCGTTCGTTGGTGTTCATCCTCCAGCTTTACTGTTTATGTTATGCTAACATATCTTGTCACGCTAGCGATCACGTAGCACATCATTATATACCAGCTAGCCAAAATTCAGTAACCCTACAAACGTTGCTGATGTTTACTTCCCTGTCGTCATTGATGTTGGAAGTGATAGCAGAGCTGTACGTTTTAATTTGTTTAATAAATCTCTCAGTCAGAACATGGTATATTATATTTAGATGGAAGCTAGCAAGCTAACGCCCTGCTAACTTCTAACTCAGTTAAATGTCATAAATTCCATTTTCATGGATGCCTGGATGTTAAACTTCATTGTTACACCTGGCAGAGCAGCCACACTAATCATTTAATTACAGATGAACAAATTTAGACAGTTTTTCAATTCTCAATAATGCCGCAGGGATCATTTGACGTTTGCAGCAGAGTTTGAGCCCAGAAATGGCTTATAATGTCAGACTCAAAGACCGGATAATGCAGGTCTACCACGTCTTAACCAGGTCACTGATTAGCAAGTTAATTGAAATGGTTGCTATTTTAAAAAACTTTAAAAAACGAAACAGGTTAGCTGAACGAAAGCACCTATACTGCCGACAACCAATACATGTCATCATCCCAGAATGCATTGTGTGCGAAAAAACATGGCCGCTCCCACGGCTCCAAAATGGCTTTAAACAACAAAGATTTAATGAACAACAAAAAAATTGTAGTTATTCTGAAGTATGTTTTTATGTAGTGGAGATAATTTGTAACATATTTAGAGTCCATCCATCCATCCATCGATTCGCTTCCGCTTATCCTTTTCAGGGTCGCGGGGGGTGCTGGAGCCTATCCCAGCTGTCATAGGGCGAGAGGCGGGGTACACCCTGGACAGGTCGCCAGTCTGTCGCAGGGCTAACACACAAGGACAGACAACCATTCACACTCACATTCACACCTAGTGGCAATTTGGATTATTCAATTAACCTATCCCCACAAACTTGTGGGGATATTTAGAGTAACTTGTCATAATAGTCGGGGTTCCCTTTGAGGCGCCTAACTGCCCTCACAGCTCAGTGGATATTTAAATATATATAAAAATATATATTTGACACATTTGAGGAACTTCTGTAATAAACAAAAATATATATATACTAGCGGAAAATTACCACGACATTTTCTTTTTTAATGTAATCCTGTTTTACAGTGAATGCAAACCTGTGACATCTGGGCTTCGGCTGCATATCTGAGATTTTTTTTTTTTTTTTCCAAATAACGTGGATGTTTCTTGTAAAATAAATGAGAAAACATGATTTACCACAGGGGTGTCCAACTCCAAATCCTTGAGAACTACCTTCCTGCAGCTTTTAGATGCATCCCTACTCCAACACAGCTGTATCAAATAGTTGGATTACCTTTTCAGCATGCCATCAAGTTAGGTAAAGCCATTCATTTGATTCAGGTGTGTTGGAACAAGGATGCATCTAAAGCTGCAGGAAGTTAACTCTTGAGGACTGGGATTGGACACCCCTGATTTACCAATTACAGACAGTATGCAGTAACCTTTAAAGGTTAATATGTATATTTTGACTCTGCTGCTATGTGCTGGACGTTCTTCTGCTGGGGAAAGTCAGTCAGAGCTCAGCTGCAGATAGAGGAAACAAATTAGCTGTACGTCAATGTGGATTAGGATGGGTTTAAAAAAATAGATTTTTCCAATTCAAATCTATTCGAGTTTGAAAAATGTGATATTCATTCAATAAATTCTTTAAATATAAATGTATTTTGCCAGAAACACCAGCATGTCAGGTTAAAAATCACAAAACAATTTCAACAACCACCAAACAGCTAAAAAACAGAAGAGGATTAGGGCCACTGGGGGGGAAAAAGTGGGCACCTCTTTTGTTTTTTTTCCTTTTCCAGAATTCTGGAAAGTAAGAAAAAAAAAACAGTTACCCACTTTGTCTTTTTTTCCAGACATTAATTCTCTCTTACTTTTGTTTTGCTTCCAACGCAATAAAAATCACACTTCCTGCTCAGCTCTTTCTCTCTCTCAGTGTCCTTCAAGAAATATTTCCCATCTCAATTGCTCCCTTAATTGCCCTCTTAATTGCTTCCTTATTATGCACTAGTCTACCATTGTGTACAGCGCTGTCGGTCGCTGTTTACAAAAAACCCCCAAAACAACTGTTCAATACCGAAGAAATTTAAACTTTTTAAAATGATGCAAAATTGCAAAACACTTAGCTGTGTCTCTAGTAAAACATCTGCTTCACTTCCAGAGCATCAGATAATGTCCATATGCTGATTCATGATTTTTAACTACTGCAGATGTATAGATAAAAAAAATATGGATATGTACTGATAAGTTATCAGTATGTCTGACTGTCTGAGTTGTTAATGTTACTGTAATGAATAATCCAGAACATGTCTGCAGGTCATGTCATCCAGATCATTATGACTGAGAACCTACAGAAACAAGTGCTTTGCACTTTGGGAGGAACATGCTTCAAAATTCAATAATCCCGAACATTTCAGGATGTGGTGGACTACTGTGTGGATGTTTTCTAGTTAAGGTCTTAGAGATGTTCTGTTTATTTCCAAAAAGTAATGTCCACGTTATGTAAAAAAACAAAACAAAAACAGAGATAGACCAAAGAAGCCCAGATGCCCCAGTTTTACACTGGGACATCTTGAGCAGCTTACCTTTGAGGATATGTGAGAAGCTGGCAGCGTTAAATTTACCTTAAAACCTCCACGTGGGCATGTGATTTGGTCTGTGCATATCAGGCGATTGGTGCACGCCCATTTAAGGTTTTGTAAGGAGACAGTTGTTATGTGTATTTTTAGACATTTGCACGCACAGGAAGGTTGTTTTTTTTTTTTAAGTCAGAGTGATCAGATTCATAAAGCTGAACATAGTAAATTGTGTGTAAATGATATTTAGTCAGGTTTGGATGTACTCATTTGTAAAATAGTGTTATGTGCGTTCAGATTACATCCTATTTGTGATTTGTGGATTGAAGCACACTTGTGTGAGTCCTCAAAAGTTACACACAAATCATTGCACACATTTGTAAAACTTAGTTTACACTTTATATCGGACGCAATTGCAACTCTTTGGAGACACCCATACGGTAAAAAAATACATTTTTCCAAAATATATATAATATATAAATATATAAATATATTTTAAAATGTATTTTAAAATATATTTTTTTACCGTATGGGCAAATTTCTGTCCATACCCATATGGAAAAGAAACAGTAAAACCTTATAAAAGACTTACATAAGATGTGGCCTACTTCATATAGTGAATCATATAAGGCTTATATAATTTACTCATGAAAGTGGCCACTTTCTCATTACTTTTATTATATATATATATATATATTATTATACTATATTCTTTTAATAAGTATCCAAAACATACAAGTTTCATTTATATGATTTTTTTAAGGGATCTTATATCTGTTTTCACTCTTGTATGCTTTTCATATAAGTTTTGCAAAAGACAGATACAAACAGATAAAAACTAAAATACTCTGACATGTAATTATTGAGAAAAAAAGTGATAATATTAATATTGGCTGATATGAAAAAACAAAAACTGTAAATTTGAAGGGAAAGTAAGACACACATTGTCATGGAGAAGTTGTGACTCTTTTTAGATGATATGTGTTTGTTTCTGCACTGTGCTGCTGTTCCTGTATCTATTCTTGTGTTTATTGGTGGGTGGGTGGGGGTGTGTGTGTGGCTGGGGCAGGGATCTTAAGGCTTGGTGGATGTGGACCTGCCAGGAGTTTGGCCACACCTAAAGATCATCACACACCTGGTGCTGATCAAGCCTCGTCAGGGAACTACTTAACAGTGTGGCTGAGCACTCCTTGATGGGGGATTGTTGTGTGAGAGTGAGTGAGTGAGTGAGTGAGTGAGTGAGTGAGTGAGTGAGTGAGTGAGTGAGTGTCCGTCCGTCCGTCCGTCCGTCCGTCCTTACAGCTGTCTATGCTATTTTCCCCTGGGAGAAGTGTGGAACAGCAGAGAGCACGGGGAGTGTGGACGAAAGGAAGCTGAAAGCACAAACCAGGGACTTTAGGAGAAGACAGGAGTCGAGGGAACGCACTGGGATTTATTGGGTCAACGTTTACTTCACTGTAAATAAATGCCCTGTTCATCGCAAAGTCCAGTGTTTGGGTCCTCCTTCCCCCGGCTTCCCCTCAGTTTGCCATACAGACCGGACACAAGTGCTTCCAATCGATAAGATAAGGGAGTTTATGCATTTGTCAGCAACCAGCTTCTACAAACTATTACATAGAAGTGTAGTTGAGGCTGTAGTGCTTGATCTGACTAAAGCATTGAATTTCATAAATCAGGCTTGGGAACTCCAGGCCTCAAGGCCCAGTGTCCTGCAAGTTTTAGAGGTGACACTGATCCAACACAGCTGACTGAAATAGCTAAATGATCTCCTCAAAATATCTTGAAGTTGGATCATTAGATCATAACCAGAGGCCTGGTTATGATCTAATCGTTTGATTCAGGTGTAGTTTATCCTGGCAAATGGTATGAGCACCAAACTTCAGCAAATCAGAGAATATATTGTGTCCTTCAACTTTTTCTTGTATATGTTTGCAGTTAGCAGTGTATCGTGTGTCTGCCTGTTGTAGGGCCATAAACCTAGCAAACAAGGATATAGTCACAGTGCCAACGACCATTTCTCAGTTCACTTAGTTTAAATGTTATAATTAGATTTTCTTTTTCTTTTTAAACATTGTTGGTTTATTTATCTCCTTGCCCTCAGGTTATTCCATATTTTAATGCTTTTCAGTTTTAATGTTTTTAGTTTAAATACAGCTCATATTTTATATTTGTAATACCATTATTGTATTCATTGGAAATAACTGCCTAAATATTTCGTATTTTCCAAATAATTGACATTTCTACTTTTGTTTCGCTTGATGGATGAAAAATATTAGCTGGTTGCAACCAAAAATATTAGGTTTAATCTTGTATAATGTAATCTTGCATAATTATTAAACCAACTTCAATAAATGTTGTTGCACCCTCGGCAGCCTCTATTCTCTGCAGTGCAAGAGTGTACAGCTGATGCTAATCGAGCAATGTGAGATGTGGATAAAAGCATATCTGTCTTAGATAAAATAGTTGTGAGATTATTATTTTATCATATGTTATCCTATGCCTATAATCGAAATGTGTGAATCATTATACTGCCGTAAGCCACACCATACTCCATATTATAGAGAGTATAATAGTATGTAGTTGTAGTTCTAGTTTGCATTATACTTCTGAATTAAAAAGAATGTGAAAATCATTAGATAGGTTTGTATTATCATATACTGTTGATTTACTGTGAATGAGTTACACTGTTTCATGACATTTTATACTGCTGAGTTAAGAAGAGCATACTGTGTGCAGAGAGCACAAAGCACATTTCACAGGAGCTTCACCCCTGGTTGGAAGCAGATAAACAGGAAGCCAAGGTCATAACACTGGCTCACTGAATGTTAGAGAGTATGTATTTAAATGCACCTTAGAACACACATGCATCAACACTACAATGAGCAGGTGGAGGGAGGTTTGGAGTCTTCTCTCACCCCCGTTCTCTGCGGCCTGCTGGAGCGGGGGGCCAGGAGGAGGAGTTGGCCGTCCGACTGCGGTCTGGTGCACAGGCCCAGTAAAAACTTGTTTATGGAATGCAGTTCAACTGGGTGAGCCTGTTCCTCAGAAAGTACCAGAAGGTGCTTCAGGTGTTTCAACAAATCCCTAACCCAGACTCAGGAACAAACATGTCTGTCTTTGGACTTTGAGAGGAAACTTTGGTGCCAGAGACAGTCCACAGAGGCACAAGGAGAAAACACTGAAAGGCTCAGTATAGATTCAAAAGCTGGCAGCAGTTCTTAAATTATTTTCATCTTTTATTAGTGACAATATTAGAAAACAGTACACTGATTACATCTAAATCACGGCGCTACTTAAATTAATTCCTTGAAATATTATAGACTTCTTATTCTATTTTAAAAAGTGCTCTTTTCTTGGACCTTTTTCCACTTTCAAACAGGCTAATGTAAGTTCCCATTCAGGCGCTTCGCGTAAACCGACACACCCAGAAACTATATTCCAAGTAAGTGTGTGGTGTGTCAGTTTTTCATTGGTTAAAAACTTTTCATCACCTTTCCCAGAAATACACACCCTGTTCTCACGTGACAGAAAATAAAGCAATCATGAAGCCCGTACTAAAGAAAGACCAAAAAAAGAGACGTAGAGCAATAAAGTGATGAATTTCACATCATTTAGCTTTTATTCTTTTTCTGTGTTGAGGTTTCACAAAAAGCAATAATGTCTGATCATTCAGATATTTTAAACAAGTAAGGAAAGAGTCATATTAAAAGGTCAGATTCATTATTTTATTTTCATATTGATCTTTTTAAATCGGGCTGCATTGCTGACTGTCATCTTAATTTGTTTGTATATTTGTAGATATTCACCTGACAGAGAGACTGCTCCATCTCTTCTATAAAACGAAACTTACCTCTTTCTTAAATTTGGAGGTTTTTTTCAACAATAATATTAATAATTGCTAATTAATGAATAATTAATGAATAAGCTGTCAGTAAGATCAACACACAGAGTCCTGAAACAATAAGCAAACAGAAACTTGTTCAATTTGGAGTTTTTTTCAACAATAATATTAATAATTACTTATTAATAAATAAGCTGTCAGTGAAATCAACACACAGAGTCCTAAAACAATAGGGAAGTAGAAAGTTAGAGCTCGAGAAACATTTGAATGATTTAGAAAACTTTACTGCTCCACGGCTTGTGGCCTTCATCAGGATCATCATCACTGTCATCTTATGCTCTTCTCCGTGGAAGGAGCTGAAGTGTTGCCAGAAATGTCTGATCTGTTTCTGCAAGACACAAAACAGAGCCAATGTGAGAGCAGAAACTTTGCTTCCACATTTCAAATTCAAAGCCAGAATTATTCAGGAGCTGAGGTGCAGGTTTCCTTCTGTCTGAATAGTTAGTGATGTCATTTATCATAATTCACTGTTTTCCAGCAGATGTTAAATTGGATAGCTGGAATAAATTCTTACATGAGATGTCGATTGATTTGGTGTAGCTCACTGTATTACTCAAAAAAAAAAAGGAGTACCAAGTATGACATTTCTGGGCGCGATCGTGGCTCAAGAGTTGGGAGTTCGCCTTGTAATTGGAAGGTTGCCGGTTCGAGCCCCGGCTTGGACAGTCTCGGTCGTTGTGTCCTTGGGCAAGACACTTCACCCGTTGCCTACTGGTGGTGGTCAGAGGGCCCGGTGGCGCCAGTGTCCGGCAGCCTCGCCTCTGTCAGTGCGCCCCAGGGTGGCTGTGGCTACAATGTAGCTGCCATCACCAGTGTGTGAATGTGTGGATGACTGAATGTGTAAAGCGCTATACAAATACAGGCCATTTACCATTTACTTATAAGGTATTATACAAAAGAAGTGCAAACGCCTGCTGTGTTACAGTGCTGAACTGAGACTCCCGAGCTTGACTACAGATTCCTGAATAAAACAGGGTCTTCAGCTCTGACTGATTTTGATTCTAACATTTGTTCTGCTCTTTAGGTATTTAAATTAACCCAGAGAATTGGGCAGTTGGGTTAGGAGCAGTTGTGAGAATGACACGTGTACTAATGGAAAATTTTAATAGACACACGGAAGCATTCATCATCTCTGAGTGGGTGTCAGAGATGATGGCAATGGAGTGGAATGCAGTTCAACCAGGTGACTCAGGTTGTCAGAAAGTAGCCTACCAGAAGGTGCCACAGTGCTTAACAGTTCCCAGACCCTGGACAGGTCACCAGTCTGTTACAGGGCTAACACATAGAGACAGAAAACCACATTCACATTAAAAAGACACGTGCGCATACACACATACACACACAAATAGAGGTGTGTGTGTGTGGGGGGGGGATTCTTAGCTCAACTGTTGGCTTACAATATCATGAAGTGTAAGCTTTTCTCCCACATGAGCCCCAGACACAAAGCAAGCATGAACCTAACAGCATGCCTCCAAAAAAAACCTTAAAGGAAAATACAATGAAAACCAGTTTCAAAAGTGAAATGTTTAACAAAATACATGTAAAAATAAAATAAATGTGTTTAAGAGGCTCACAAACTATCAGGAGAAAATATGTGTAAAAAGGTGTGAAAAGAGCAGCTGAGACTGAACCAAAGGGATTCGTTCAGGTTCAGTCGTCGGTCTCTGGAAGATTCTCGAATCACCGGCGAGAGCTGAAGCCACAACAGGGCCGTCGACGACGAAAGCCAAGTCCCGCAGTCGTCTGCGGCTCTGTGGGTGAATAAAGAGTATACGTCCGGAGAAAATGCTCCTCACTTTGTACAACCGGGAGGCCCCGCTCTATCTCTTGGAAACGAACAATGAGACACCTGTGGACTGTACTCTACGTCATCGTTGGAGCTACCCAAGGTAATTATTATCATAAAGATTATTTTTGCTTGGGGGTTGGGGTTGTTTCGTAACGCCAGGCAACGTTTGCTGAACATCTACTGTCGTCTTCGGTAAGACCTTCGTGCGTGGCCTGTTTTAAGTCAAAATGTGGTCGTTTTAGACGTCTTTTCAACTTCAAAGTTAGACTAATTTCAGACATATTTTTATAACGTGTCTGTTACTGAGCTCTCAGAGGTTTTTAAACAAGAGCAGTTTCGCATTGTTAAACCCATGAAGTGGGATGTGCTAGTAATAAAATAACTTATTAACACTTTGCTGTTTCGTAATTATTAAGCATTCACGGGATAATTGTATTTGTATTGTATTGCATCTGTTATCAAACGCCTTCCGTGTCACAGTCCTGAACAGCGGAGTTCATCAATCTTTAAATACAGTTCTTTAAACAAAAATGTCCATGAAAACGAAGCAGTAAATAAGTGAGGAAGGTCCGATAAAAAACGTTTTTCTGGAAACAAAAAAAGGGCAGAAATCTGTGGCCAAAAGCAGAAGAGAGTAAAATGAGTGAAACGAGAACGAAATAAAATACAAAACCCTGTTGATCGTGGTGTGAGCCCGTAAACAGCCCAGTGTGTCTAAAATAATGTTGAAAATCATCCCTAAATAAAATTATAAGCAAAGAGATAGGTAAAAGAAACTAAAATGAAAATAGAAAAAAATGAAATGTTAAACAAAAACATATTAAAAGGTAAAATAAGTGTGTGTAAGAGGCTCACAAAGAATGAGGAGCTGAGACTGAACCAAAAGGTTTCCTCCGTGGAAGAGTCTCTGCTTACCGTCACAAGCTAAGGCAAAACGTCCCCCTGTCGACACCGAAGCCGAGAAACGCCGCGGACGCCAACGACGTCCACTCAATGTTCAGAACATCGCCGCGATGAATGTCTATAGTCTATATCGAGGGTTTAATGTCGTGGTGCGGGACCTATCCATCCCGGCGTTAACTCCGGCGTAGAGTTAGGGAGGAGTCTACGCAGCCGCGTCTCACTCCTCGCCTTTTTACTCTACGCTAAGCAACGACCTAAAGAGCTCAACAGAAGAGCCCTTTTAAACCTGATTAATATCCCCCATGGGTCTGTGTCTCTGTGCTGGAACAGAGATAGACTTGTGGTTTGTTTTAGTAGTGATACAAAATTAGTTATTCTTTGCGCTTTGTGGCTTTAGTTATTTTTCTGTTGCTTTTTTTTTCACGTTTCTTAGATAAAGTGGAGACAACCACAGGGGTTTTATCATTATGAGATACTCTCATTTGCAAATAAATACAGATTTTAATTAACTTTTGGCACTCACCAAACTACGAACTAAACGTGACAAAAAGAAGTAAAAGTGAATAATGATGTTCAGTGAGGTGACAGGAACTGAACTTAAAGAAGGTTTCCATGGTTATCAGGCTCTATGTGAGGCTGTCTCACTGCAGTCTGTGAAATGTAGCATTTTTAAAGAGGGAAAAGTGCACATTATGGGGTTGGAGATGTTCATACCACAGACAATTGAGGTGTGAACATGTTCAATTTGATTTTAGTTCAAACAAAAAAAAAGTTTGGCCTAAGATGATTTCAACAGAAGTCGAGCACAGAGCAGCTAAGAACATTATCAGGGTTATTTTAGTCAGCATTAACAAATATTATACAGTTACTGAGTGTTACTGAGCTTTGAATGCTGACTGATGACCTTTAATCTCTGTGCTCTGTGTTGTTTCTCTTTTAGATGTAACAGCTACACCTGGAGAGCATGTTGTTCTGATGTGTCAAGATCCAGATAACAACTTCACAGGTGTAAAGTGGACCAGAGCTGACCTGGGAGAAGAATATGTCTATTTAGAGCGGGACGGGCACTTTGAACCACGCAACCAGCATCCGTCTTTTCACAACCGGGCGGCTCTGGATGAGCGAGAGAAGAAAGATGGGAATGTGTCTTTAAATCTGAAGAATGTGACAAAAAACGACACCGGGGCATACGAGTGTCGTGTCTTCATCAATGAATCATATAAATCCATCTGCAATGTCACACTAAGAGTTGTTGATCCTCCAGGTGAGTGAGTAGAGTTGAGTGTGTGTGTGATCAGAGGTGAAGCTGCTTCCTGCTTGTTGATGTTTGTTTCTAAAGATGTTGTTGATGAGACTTTGTAGAAAGCAGCTGGTCTGAGTGATGTGATCAGAGTGCAGTAGATAATGTCTGACAGCAGTTTGAAGAGGAAATGGATTCTGTTCTGTTCTTCACTCATCACCTACCTGACAGCTGACACCTCACACCTGTTTCTCACCTGCAGGTCAGACAGGAGGAGACACAGAGGATGGAGGGAAGGAGGTGGAGGGAAGGAGGATGGAGGGAAGGAGGATGGAAGAGAGAAGAGTGGATCTGTTGGACTCATCATGGTCTTCACTGCTGTTGTTGTTGTTGTTTTTGCTGTTGTTGTTGTTTTGATCTACATAACATATAAAAAATGTTGTCAGGACTCAGATCATCCTCCCACTGAACCACAGATTGAAATGTCTGAGAGATTTCTGAACTCTGAATCTCCTGCTGATGAACACAGAGACAGAAATGACCCGGAAGCAAACAACAGTCACCAACACTCCACAAGGATCCCTGATGTCACTCTGACAGTTGAGAATGAACTACTTCCTCCTCAGCAAACAGCAGGACTGATTCCAGACGTCAGAGTGTAGTAGATAATGTCTGACAGCAGTCTGAAGAGGAAATGGATTGTGTTCTGTTCTGGTTGTTTTTTGTTTGTTCGTCTTATCTGCACAAAACTAAGAGATCCACAGTTAACACCAGCCTCCACATGAAATGTTTGGACTCTCTCAGAGCTGTCTGTTACTCTAATAAAACTGCCAACAATTATTCTTAATTACTTGTTTTGTGTATTCTTACTTAAAATCGGAGGGGATGATACATGCAAATTATGTATGTAAAAAATGTAAAAAAGTAAAAAATGTAAAGAATCCAATGAACTACTTGGATGTTCTGTTAACTACAGTGAAACAAAGACAAATGCAGGTTGTACGTCCTGTTGGAGCTATTTGTTTTTTATTTATTATTTTGAAATTAGTTAAAGTTTGTTGTTAGTTTATTTATATTTTGGGGTTTATTTGTCGGTTAATATTTTGTTTTAAATGATTTGTTTTGTTTGTTGTTATTTTGTTAAATTAGTCAGTAAGAGCTGTAGGGCCATTTTGTTTCTATAAATAAAGAGACTGGTATAGGACCAGCATGCATTGGGGTGGGCCTATGGTTTTTTACCAGAGCAGGAGAAGCAGAGGAAGGATCTTGTTATTGCTTGCCAAAATGGATAAATAAACCAAAACTCTCAACTAAAAGGTTTGGACAATGGACTTCTTTTGCCTGCGTACGAAATATTACCTCAATGCAGCAGTGGCTTGTGGACTTTAAGTTGTGGGACGTTTGATCTTCAAAAGTAAAGGAATTGCCACTACACGTCCTTTTGGCCTGAAAGTGTTTAAAATACCCAAAAAAGATGTGACGTTAGGACAGAGTTAAACCTGGAAGTCAGGCGACAACATTAACACACCCAATCAGACTATTTTATTGTAAATGTCAAAATGGTGTGTCAGTGTGACGTCACATTCAAATATTCCTCTTATTTCAGTGATTTAAAGTCCTTCTAACTGTCCTGTAGCCTCTGGGCCGCATGTTAAGGGACAGCATAAAAATAATGTTGTGAGGACAGATTTCATTCTCTGTAGAGAAGTTTTTTCTCTGTGACATATAAAGGTGAAATAGAAACAATGCTTTAGGTCTTCTGTGTTAAAGACACAAATGAAGAAAATCTCAGGCTGGAGATGAATAATTTGTTAAATTACAGAACAGAATAATAAAACATTCATCAGGAGCTGAGAGTTCATTATCTTTAAGTGTAAAACTGAAGATGAAAGCTGAAGTATGTTTGGCTCTTAAAGGCTGGATCCTGTTTGAACCTGTCAGACAGCAGAGGGAGCAGCATGGAGGAGCTCAGCATGTTTACAGTTTGATGTTTTCTGGTCTTCTATTTAAATAAAGACACTGTTTCCCACATAGAGCACAGAGCTAAACAGATTTTTATTTTTAAATAAACACTTAAACCTTTATCACGTTATCTTGTCTAATCCTGATTAATCTTCATCTCTGACTCTTTTAATGACCACCATGAGTGAGGGAGCTGCTTCCTGTACACTTCAGGAGTCTTTTCACAAGCACAAGTCGCCCTCTGCTGGCCAGTTTAAGAGAATGCAGCTACAATGCTTGAACTAAAGCTGATCTTCATCAACCACACTGCGGTGGGTGGATGGTGGGATTGTAATTCAACTGTTTCAATACAGCATGTATTCAGAAAGGGTAGTTAAAAGTCTCATTCAGCAAACTACTGCACACTTCCTCACTGCATCATCTTCACTACGTTCAAGTAGTCAGATATAGATAATCCTGCAGACCAGAGCTCACCTGTGATGCAGATTTATTTTTAATGCTGTCAGTGAAAAATAAGATGTTTCACGCACAGAACCACAGAGCACTCATGCATTAGGTTTTCCTGCGATACTACATTTATCACAGCTGCTAAGTTCAACAGCAAACGTTTGCAAATGTTTATTTTTATTTACTTATTTCTCTTTATTTGTTTGTTTACAACAAAAACAATAAGACAAATAACATTTACAATATTAACCAGAGGCTCAAAACAGCAGAAATAATATTTGCACAATATAAAAAAGGGAGACAGAAACAATAAGGTTAACATTAAGACAACAATATTATTGAGGAGACGTGTATTTTTTAAATCCACAGAAGAGTGTATATAAATGGAAAACTGTTGTCTGTTGCAGATTTGGAGTTGTGCTCAAAGCTGGTTTATGAAAATTTTAAATTGAAGTTTCTTGTTACTAAGTTTACATTTATGAATTAAGAATTCCCCATAAATTGTGAGCAGATTGAAACTGAAAAAT